GCCTGGAGGATTCTGGGAGGTGTGTGTTGACTCACCTCTCCCTCCCGGGAGCTGGTTTGCATGAGGTCAACAGGCGCCTTGGTTATAAAGGCCTCCATTCCGGGTTCCCACACTTCCCTCGGCCTCAGGGGCATGGGGAGGGGCAGAGAAGTCTAGTGGGCAGGGCTGGGGCAGGAGCACCTGGGTGTTTTATACATAATCCGGTCCCACACTCAATGGGCACCCCTTTACCTCAGGGTACCTGTTGGCTGTTACATCAGGCAAGGGCCCTCACCGGCATAGTTAGCACCCACACCCTGGGGGCCCATCCCGTTTGCCCTCCTGCTCTGAGAGCCTGAGAGGGGGAAGCCCAGAACTCATCAAGGGCTGCAGAAGCCATGGTGGGTCCTTGGTCCACTCTCTGTAAGGAACGCCCTCTAGAGGTCACAGTGAGAAGGGCAGAGAGTTAAGACTGACTGGGGAGCGGGAAACCCTCCTGAGAACTGTGCCTGTGGGTCTTGGGGCTGTAAATCTTCACGGAAGCAGAAATCTGCGAGAGCCTCATCTTTCTCCGGAGGAGTGGCTAGTGGGTTTTAACTGCTGACCTTATGGTTAGAGCCCAACGTGCACCTAATTACGCCACCAGGACTCCTTAAATGAGGCAACGCCCCACCCCCACAAATAAAGAAACAAAAGCCAAAAAAGCCAACTAATTGTCATCAAGTCAATGCTGTGGCTGTTTCTCCACCTTCCTCATGCCTCGACCCTTTCCTACAGCTCATGTGCTGGTGACCCCAACCATAACATTGTTTTCGTTGCTACTTCATCACTGTCATTTTGCTAGTTATGAATGGTCATGTAAATATCTGATATGCAGGATGTATTTTCATTGTTACAAATGGAACATAATTAAAGCATAGTGGTGAATCACAAAACAATGTCATTATATATTGTGAAATATTTCTAATCACAAACATGGAGTTTTGTCTTGTAGCATGGTGTAGCATGGGTAACAGTCTTCATGCCTGGTACTTATATGTGGCGTATCTGCATGTGGGTGGACCTGCCTGGAGACGATAGAGGAGCAGTATATGTGTTTTTCCAATGGTCTTGGGCGTCCCGTGACAGGTTGAGAACTGCTGACCTAGAGCACAGCGTGGAACTGGCCCTGTGGGTTTCTAAGACTGCAAACCTTAACAGGAGTAGAAAGCCTCATCTCGCCCCCACAGATCCAATGGTGGATTTGAACTGCTGATGTTTCAGGTAGCAGCCCAACTTGCAACCCAGTACGCCACCAGGCCTGTGACACCCCCTCCCGGCCCCCCCCTCACAGGTGGGCAGTGTGGACACTCGTGGGCTAGGACAATTGGACCTCCTCCGTGAAGCCGCTGGGACTTGATTTTGTGGTTTGACTATATGCCATTCCAGGGCTTGGGGGGTCATAAAAGCCACGTCTGTGACCTGTTGGCTGACGTCAGGAAGGAGGGCACGATTCCAGTCAGTCATGGGGAGACTAACCAATCATGACTTTTTACTGCTTCTTCCTCTTTGCTTCAAATATGTCTTTGTCACTAGCCTGTTTAGAGCCATTTGATTTTCTGAAATGAATTGGTCTCCCCTCTATGCAGCTGGGAGAGCCTTGCAGGCTTGATTCATGCTTTACCTGTTTCACACGGTCTCACTCTCCTGACTCTAGACTCCTGTGCAGCCCGGCCAAGCAGGACATTGCGTTCCCTAAGCAAAGCAAAGGACTCTGGGGCTCCGACGAATTGGAGCTGGAATGCTGGGAGAGGCAGGCTCCCTTTTCCTCCTGATCTAGGCCATTTTGGCACGTCGTGGGAGGGCTTTGTCTAAGAATGGGATCAACACTGGCAGTGCTGATGGAGAGAACTGGGTCCTGGGGATGGGCCCTTCCCTGCTACAACAAGCCGCATCTGAGCAAGAACGCCCCCTTGCCTTTACACAGGAGGCAATCTATCCTCTTTTGCTTCAGTCAGTTGGGGGTGAGTGGTTCAACGTTTACAACCAAAGAAATAAACCAGAAAACCAACTGACCACCACCACCACCACCCAAAACCCCACAGTCCTTTCAGCTGGGAGGCCAGGCCATGGAGGGGAACCGGCAGGGTCCCGGACCCATTCACTGTGTCCACAGCCCCTCCTCCACCCCTTTGGACCTGCAGGGCCCAAAAGCCTCATGCCACCAACCTGACGACATTCTCCTCGGGCAGTTCTGGTGTGCCCAGGGCTGCCCCCTGTACAAATGTGCTGGTGCTGGTGACCGGCCTGTCACTTCAAAGGGGGCAGAATCAGCAGCTCAGGGCTGAGTCCCAGGAGGGCGAGGCCAGGCTTGCCTCCTTTCTCCAACATTTTTACAATTCTGTTGCCGGCCGCCCTTCCCAATGACACTCCCCCCCCCACCTTCTTTGCTTGACTGTAGTGGTTACAAGGAACTCTCAGGTCATAAACTCAGTTAGGAGGCTTATTAGGGAAGGTAAACAGGTTATAATTCAGATTCCAGGACATTCGGGATATAATTCTCTAGTCGGGCCATCCTCTTCTTGGTCGTACCTGCTAACAGATCTCTCTCGAGTCCTCAGACCTCTGAAGCTCTTTTAGTTCTGCTGACAAGGGACCAGAGGTTCCCCATTAGGTGCTCAGCTCTTGCTCCACGGGCCAGGAAGCCCAAGGCACCATCTCCTGCTGGTTTTCTCTCTGCTGTTGCTTCTTGCCGTCTCCCCCATCTCAGGTGGTACAGCCCTGACTCCTGGGAATGGGAGGTTCCCAGCACATGGACCTTAGGTACAAAGACCATGCTTGGCTTCTGTCTCTTCGTTGGTGGTAGTCTAGTCCCTTTCTCCGCCTCTGGGTGGCTCATTTTAAGACTAGTGAGGTGGCAAAACCAACCAATCCTCTCACTGGGATCCCATACACCTTATTTGCATGGTCCCACCCACACAGGGGCCTCATGCATTTTATTTACATTATTAGCAAGCTATCCAGTCTCCTTGGTGGGCCCAAAGCACCTCCTTTGCATAGCCCCACCCAGTCCCTTGGTGGGAATTAGACTGGAGCTCAGTGGATCATATTAAGCAATTTGCTGTATTGCACTCCTCAATCCAGTAGTGCCTGTCGAGGGCGGGGCATCCTGCAGTCCAAAGGTGATCTTCACTCAGAATTAGAGATAGGGGGCGGAGACAAGGACTTAAAAAAAAAAAAAAAGCCCTAGGCTTTAAATGCCAAGGCATCCCTGGGCAGCGTAAATGGTTAACCCTTTCAGCTGCTAATCTAGAGGTTGGACGTTAGAGTCTACCAAAGGCAAGTGGGTAGAAAGGCCTGGAAATCCACTTTGGAAAAATCAGCCATAGAAAACCCTATGGGAGTTTGGGGAATGTTTTGGCCCATATATTTTCATGCTACTCCCCCCACCCCCCACCGGACACAGTGTTGTGACAACACACGTGGGGTCCTCCTCATGAGTCAGAGGTGATGTCATAGTATCCATCCATGTGAGAAACTAACACTGAAGGACATATGACTTAGAGGGAATCTGGACAGCCAGTATTCCACGGTAGGAAAGCCTCCACTTTGGTAGATTAGAGGTAAAGCCCAAGTACATTATCCTGCTTTAAACATCGTCCCCACAGATTCTCCCCTAACAGCATGCTGCCTTAAAGTGAGCACATGGATGACTATTTCCCTGGAGAAGCAGACACCCTTCTGCTATCTCTTGCTATCGTCTTACCCAACCCCCCTCATACTGTCCCCCAATGCCGGTATTAGGTTTCCTTACCTGTGAGCTCACCCCTACCTTGTGACGCATGCAACTACTGGATATGCATGTCTTAGGCTACCTATAAACGTCCCAAGTAAGTAGAGGCTGGCTCTCTCTTCTCCCAGTTCCACATGGACCATCAAGAGGGGCTGAGGTGAGCACGCTACCATAAATGTGTCTGAGCTTTGCTGTAGTTTCTTTGCTATCCTCTGTGACTTGACTATCATCTTTATTATCGCTGTACTATTGCTCCTACTGGCCCTTCAGTTGCCGGAGGCTGGTTTCCTCTGGCACACCAGGGACCTAACCTTGGTGCTGGGTCTCAATGCTGCCTAGTCCAGGCCTCGTTGTGGGGCTCCGGGTGGTGGGCTGCCCTACCCTGCTCAGACGTACCCGTGTTCCTGCCCAACCTCCGCCAGGCTTTCCCATGGAGGCACTGTGGGTCACCGGGGTCAGTGGCTTACCTGAGGCCAAGGTTGTGCACCCTCACCCAGCCTCATCGTCTGTTTTTTTTCCCCAGTGGAAAAACCATCAATGGCCTGAGCCAACTCAACCCAATGCCCTGGTGTTGCTGCTCCATGACTCATTGCTACCAAGCACAGGGTTTCCAAGACGCCCAGTCTTCATGGGAGTAGAGAGCCTCATCTTTTTCTCCATGGAAGAGCTGATGCCTTTGAACCCCTAGCCTGGCTGTTAGCAGCCCAGTACTGGCCTGACAGTGTCTGTCTATCGAGCAGAGAGGGGGAAACTTCATGAAGACGATGCTTCTAGATCAGTGTTCCCGGACCAGGCCTGGAGACCACGCAGGACATTCCTCCTGCCCCAGAACGCTGGGATATCCACCGGGTAGAAGTGTAGGCAAGGAAGACCTGAGGAAATGGGGACCCCAGGGAGGAAGTGGGAAGCTCACTGTGACATTGAGGGAGGACAAGCAAGGTCATGAAACAAAATGTGAATGGGGAAAAAATTGAATGGAAAACGAATGTGCTTTGTCAGCGTTCACTCAACACACACACACCCCACCATCCCCCCGACCTTAGGTTTTATCTGTTTGTAGAGTGGGGGAACCTAAAACACATCCCATGTTCTCTAAGGATGCGCCAAGCCAGTCTCCCCACCTTGGAGCGGCTCCCACTGCTGGTTAGCCCGTTGCTGCCAGCCTCCCGGGGCCCCATCTCCCTTCCTACCCAGAGGCCAAGTTCCCGTTGCGTGTCTGCCAGTAAAGAGCACTCGAGACAGCGATCGATGCCTTTGGTTCCCTTGTTTTATTCGGTGACACATTCGATCCTTGGTGGACACTGGATCTGCAAGGCAAACGAGGCAGGGCCACTGAGGGGGGTGATGCTCTATGACCTGGAACCTCTAGGGGCCACCTGATTGAACAGTCTCATGGGTGGGGGGTCGGCAGCCAGGTCGGCCTACGATCCTCTCGGATCCTGAACGTCCGTTCTTTGCAGTAGTCACACCAAACCAAACCAAACTCGCTGCCATCGAGTCCAGGCTGACTCCCTGTGGGTTTCTGAAACCGTGACTGTTTACGGGAGTAGAAAGCCCAGTCTCCCTCCCTCGGAGCTGCTGGTGGTTTTGAACTGCCGGCCATGCGGATTGCCGCCTGATGCTTAACCAGGACACCACCAGGCTTCTTCCCATGAGACTGCTTTCCCCCACTCTGTCACCAGGTGCCTCCCTTCCCCTGCCAGGCTCCTGCCCCACAGCTCACCACTGGTGAGGCAGGGCGGAGTAGGGAAGGAGCTCTTCCCTCTTAGCCCACCTGCTGGTGGGATGCCAGGGAGAGGTTCACCATGTGTTTAGGCAAGAAAGTTCTGGAAGCATCTTTCCTCTGAGGTGGCAGCGTTACCACCTCCTCAGATGGTTCATCACTGTCTGTCCTCAGATGGTTCATCACCGTCTGGACAGGAGGAGGACACTGACCACCCCTGTTTCCCTGTCGTGGAGACCCAGAGCCGAGCCCACAAAGCCCAGGCCAGCTCGCTGCCTCCGCCCCAATCAGGCGGGCGGCCAGGCTTACACACAGTGTGTCAGTGAGTGCCTCCCTCACACACTTTCAGAGGCGACAGGGAAACAGGGTGGTGGCTCCAGATACCTTTCAGCCTTTCCAGTGTATCCTTGCCTGTTGCAGCTGCCCCGTGCCTTCCTTGCCGACAGGCGCCCCGTTTTGTTAGAATGGGTCCCCTGCTTTGCTTGAGCCAGTGCTGGAGGAAAGTGACCTTGCTCCAGCCCTTGCGGGAGGGTGTGGTAAACATAAAAAAATAGCCACGAGAAAGAAAATCCCTCAAACCCAGACCCCTTGCTATGCTCAAGTTCCATCTCACGCCCACCTCCTGTGTGACACTGTGGGGCTTTCTTGCCCGTCATCCCTATGAGGACAGATTGCCAGGCCTTTAGCTCGCAGTGCCACGGGGTGGGCTTGAACTGCCAACCTTTTAGTTAGTCGTTGAACACCAACCGGGAACCTTGGAAGTAGACCCAGGCTGGTCCAGCCGCCTCCTAATTCAGCTCCTTTTACTGGCAATTTGCTTAAGAATGGGCCCACCAGGCCCGTGAGACTGGGGGAACCGAGAGGTGGCTTTTTCCCTGCCTCTGGCTGTGCAGTCTTTCTGGGAGCTTCCCCAGCCATCCTGCAGGGGGTGAGGGGTGAGGGGGACCTGGGTTGCCAGCAGTGACCATCAGAACACTGCAGGAGAAGTCCCTGGAGCCACCAGCCTGGCATTCCCAAGGAATGAATCCTTAGCAAGTCAAGTCCTCGCCTGTCCTGTCCCGTAGGGCTTTGGGGAACTTTCTACCAACTCATACTTTCATTTTACGACCTTGGTTTCAAGACACATTAGAATGTACCGCCCCTCCCCCCACCCCCAACCCGTAGGGCATTTCCCAGCTGACAAAGCACTTAGCATAGACCAGTCACACGTGGGGGTGGGGCCGGCAGGGACGCTCTACCGACTATGCTGGTAGCCTGGTCGAGGCTGCTTACTGACAGGTCGGTGGTTTGAACACAGCAGCCGCCCCTCTGCGGGAGGAGAGGAGGAGGCTGTCGGCTTCAGCAAAGATAACCTACGGCCTTGGAAACTGTATGGGCCCGTCTACTCCGTCCTGCAGGGTCGCTCTGAATTGACCTCGGGTTGTCCTTGAACGGTCCCTTTGCAGACTCTCCCCTGCCACTCTATCAGCAAGGCTTGCCTCCGCTTCTAGAAGACAGCTTGCACTTCTGCCATAGCCCTGCTTCTCCAGACTGGTGTCTCTACCCTGCACTCCCGGCCTCCCCCGACGCCCTGCCCCTCTGAAACCTAGTGTTATCAGCTGGAGACATGAGAGGCCAAGTGAATTCAGAGATGCGAGGAACTGAGAACAGTGGCCACCACATAGGACAGACGTTAGGGTCTGCCGTTGGCCTGCTCCCCTGGCTTCTAGAACTCCATGGAAGACTTGAAGCCCCCCGCCCCTGCCTTTTCCTCCACAGCATCCGGATGGCCTCTCCCTCACCCACCCAAGCTCCAGCTTGGCCTCGCCTCTGGCTCTCACCCTCATTAACCTCCTTCCTGCCTCAAGGCCACCGTATCTGCTGTTCCCTCCCCGAGCAGAACACCCTTCCCTGGGGTTTTCACAGGGCCTACTCTTCTCCCACACCGGCTCAGAGAGACCGTTGTGACCTGTCTACCTATCACCTTGGCTAGCGTCCCCTCCACCCTCTGCCCAGCTGCACTTTGTGGGACCAGTCACTGTTTCTGTGGGAACACTAGGCACCAGCTGTCCCTGTTTATCTGTTGACCTGTGTGTTGTCTGAGTCCACTGGGACCGGGCGCTCTCCGGAGAGGGCCTTTGTCTGCTGCGGTCACTCCTGTAGCTCCCAGTAGGGGCTCAGTACAGACTGAATGGATGGAGGATTTAATTAACAGGCACTAATTGGGCTGAGGGTTACTCATTGGGCTGCTACCCCACTGTTAGCAGTTCGAAACCACCAGCAGCTCTGTGGAAGACAGGGCTTTCGACTCCTATAAAGAGCTACAGTCTCAGAAACCCACAGTTCTACCCTGTCGTATGGGGTCGCTATGAGTTGGTATGGCTTTGCTTTGTGAGTCTGACTGGTATGGTACATATGGGCTAATATCAGACTTACGGATTTGATCTGGACTGGTATGGGATGTTTCCTTTATGTACAATTACTCTTTGATGGAACATTCTCGTACACACATCTGCGTGTCCATGAATTTGTTTCTCTGAGTACTAACCCAGCCGGTCAGGGAGGAAATCCAACTCTGGGGCCGGAAAGGACCCTGCCTCTGGCCAGTCAGGGTCTGGGGGCTCCACAGGAGGGCGCCAGCTCCGAGGGATGGAGATCCCACCATGGGTGCGGTGGTGGAGGGGGGCGTTTGGTCCCTGAGGCAGGTTCAGCTGGACCCAGAACTTTCTGAGAAAGCTGCACCCAAACCTCAGGCATCCAAGGAATGGGGCCCAGGGCCAAGAGCTTGGCTCAGGGGTTCCCTACGGAGGTGGGAGAGCCGCCCCTCTGAGGGGAGCCAAGCCGTGTGGCCTCGCCTCAGGGGTCCTGGGGGGAGGGGGGATGCCCGTGGGTCCCGTACTCCACTTTCGAGTCTACCTCGAGGCACCGCAGAAGAAAGGCCTGGCAAGCCGTGTCACCAAAAGTCCACCAGGGGAAACCCAGTGAAGCACAGTTCTTCCCGGTGGCACCCGTGGAGACACCGCAAATGGAGCCTGTCTGTGGCTGGAGTCCTGGGCTCTAACTGTCCTAACGATGTGTCTGTCTGGTGTCCACTGGGAGCCGGTGACAACCCTTGGGGCATGAAGCAAGTCTCTCAGTGCATCACTTGGCTCCCACTTTCCTTCAGAGCCGGGGGTAGGGGTGGGACTGGTCCATCTGTGAGGGCCACCTCTTGTCTCTTTCTGAGAAAGGATGGAACCCCCCCACCTCCCTCGCCAGACCTGTGTGATGGGGCAGGGAGTCGGCGGCCATGAGCGGCCTACACACCTGTTGGGCGCAGGTGGGGGCTCATTCACAAATATTCAATGGTGTAGTAGGCAGCGCCCAGGGCCCCCAGGGCCACAGCTGCTGTCCCGAGAGCTTGGAGCACGTGGGTTACGGTGGAATGAATGCTTTCTCCCAGATCTTCTGTAAAGCAAAGCAGAGAGGTGGCAGGCATGAGTGCCGGTCATTTGCTGGGGGGATGCTGGAATCACGCACACACACACCCGCACCCCACATCCCCACACCCATCTCCCCTCTTTAAGGAGGGGCACTTACTCTCCCCACCCCCACCGTCAACCTGACTCCCAGGATCTCAATGAGCTGGCTGGGGTACAGTGCCCCCTTGGGTGCTCTGGGGAAGAACAGGTGGGCAACGTCATTGTGTGGCCCCTTGCAGTCACCTCCATGCCATGGGAAGTAGGTCTACCAGTCACCCCGGCTCAGAGATGAGGAGCCAGGAGGGAAGAATGACTTCTGCCCTCCATACGGGCCAGGGGGCTTTAAGAAACCTCACGGGTATGTTCCCCCCGACCCCCGTGCCTCACCTGGTGTCCCGGGCAGGGTGGGCGTTTCTCTGTGGCGTGAGTGGGTGTGAAATTGATCTAGGCGCCTGGTGGCATGATTCGGCGCCCTGTGCCAGGTGTGTGTGAGGGGAGACATAAAGCCAGTCCAGGTGAGTGCCAGGGGGTGGGAGGGTCCCTTCCCTGATGGGATGTACTACATCCCATCGCAGAGCATTTCTGGGGCACACCCGGCAAGGGAGGGTAGGGTACCTTTAACTCTGCTTTGCCTCATCTTGGTGAGAGATGGGGCTCCTCAACTTAGGGGCGGGAGTGGGAGCTTGGTGGGGGAGGGTCGGGCCTAGGATGGGGGTGGGTGGGCCAGGGGGTACTGAGACCCCCCACAGCAAAGGGTTCTCCTCTAGGGAGATCTGTGGGGATCTGAGTATAGTGGAGCCTCTTTGGGCTCAGATGAGTTGAGGCAGCTCAGAGGTGTGGGTGTGGGGACCCTGCCGCGTCTCTGCACCACGGAGGAGCGAGCACAGGACCATCTTCTAAGTTTCTCTGGCCTGGGCAGCGTTCTCACGGAGGCCAACAGCAGGAGGCAGGATGAGGACAAGGGCCGAGGGGTGAAAGGTGAGACCAGCAGTGTTGCTGCCCCCCACCCCCCAGTCTCGGCTGAGAGACCCTAAGGGGAGGTCGAGTACTGGCTGTTACTGTGAGGGAGCGTAGGAATTACACTCACATCTTTTTTTATCCCTAAACTCAAGGGAAAGGCTCTGAACCCCTCAGTCACCAAACCCCTGAGGGAGGGGTTTGTTTCTGAGGGGCTGTGAGGAGGGGCTTCTACAGAGAAACGAATGTAGGACCCCCAAAGGAAGTAATGCACCATAAGAGGGCCACCTAGCATGTCCATGTGGCGGGGTCACTGTGGATGGTTAGCACCTGTCCGAAAGGACCCTGCCTGCGCACACCCTAGGTTTTGGCCATCTGAGGAGACGGGGCTTTTCCTCAGCAACACGTGTGGATTTCACCTGGCTGGGGAAAGGTGGCAAGGTTTGGCACTAGGAGGACAGTGTGCTGAGTGTGGGGGAGGGAAGGGTGAGAGTCAGCCCTGGGGAGTGACAGGTAGCCCTTCCATAAGGGGGTTCATTGAGTGGGACTAAGGTCCCTTTCAAAAGATCTCCACTGCCATTGAGTCAATGCTGATTCAGAGTGACCCCCTCGGCCAGGACAGCACTGTCCTTGTGAGTTAACCATCTCCAACACACTCGCTGCCATTCAGGCAGTGCTGGGTTTCCCACACTGTGACTGTTTATGGGAGTAGAAAGCCCAGTCTGTCCCCCTTCGAGCTGCTGGTGGTTTCGAACTGCCGACCATGGGGGTGGCAGCCCAATGTGTAACCACTGTGCCACCAGGACTCCCGCAGGTGACCCTTATGTCCACGTCTGGGGATCTTGTTCACGGTGTGGATTCTGATTCAGTATATCTGGGGTGGAAGGGCCAATTCTCAGCAGGTGGGTCGAGTCGGAATGAACCGGCATGAATTCCTGGCTGTCCGAGCCCCTGCAGGAAGTCCCACGTGGTCATTTAACCCCGAACCAGACAAACCAACCCCTTCTGACCCACTGCCCTAGCATCCATTCGGGCTCAGAGCGACCCAGTGAGCTAAGGGTGAGTAAGGTGGATAGACATGTGGGCCCGAGGCCCCAGCTCCCCCCTCAGCTCGCTCGGAACCTGTAGAAAGTGAGGAGGCTCGGGGTTCCTCTCCCCAGGAGGGGATGCCAGTTCCCAGGCACCAGGACATCGTTGATGCGGCAGTGGCACTGCCCAAGACGATGGCAGCAGGCAGAGCTGCCTGGGCAGGGGATGCAGGTGCAGGAGCGCGGGTCCGCAGGGATCAGGGGCCCTGCTGGGCAGAAAAGGGGAGAGCGGTGAGTGGTCTCTGGGCCCTGGGGGTTTGAGGGGACAGCCGGAAGGCTCCGACAGGACTCACGGGAACCCTGCACTCACAAGGAACCCTCAAGGACCCCAACAAGGAACGTTCTCTAACAAGGGGGCTGTCTGGGAAAACGGCAGTTCTCTGCCCCAGAGGAAGGTGACAGCCCAGCCTGGGCGCGTCCAGTGCCTCACATCGCCGTCAGTCTCATGCAGCTGTTGGGAGGACACCACGAAGCAGGCCATGTCACTCACGGTCAAAGTAAGCCAGCTGAGGCGCCACGATTGAGGGGAGGGTGCTCTTGCGCATGGCCAATGAAAGATGGGAAGGACAAGTCCACCCCGAGGTACCTCAGAAGCAAGGCCTGGTGGTCTACTCCTGAAAGATCCTGGCCATTGCCTGTGGGGCACAGTCTATTCCACACACACACCCGGGGTCCTGCTGAGCCACCGTCGGCTGGATGACAGATACTGTTTAATTCCCTTTACAACAAGCCAAGGAGGACCTCAGCTCATGGTTCCTCACAGGAAGTGACCCAAGCTTATCCCACGAGAGGCCACGCCAGGAAGTCCCCGAAACGGTTTCTGGAGGGCTCTCTCTCAGTCCATTTATCCAGAATTCGTTGATTCATCCGGAGGACCACCACTGCTCTAGTGTGCAGACTGGAAAGAGTCTGCAATTGGATCTCACATTTCTGTCTCCTCCTTCTGACCTGGTGGCACTGGCGGGTGAGGGTTGGCATGCTAACTGCATGGGCAGCAGATCAAATCCACCAGCTGCTCCTTGCGGGTACGTTACCAAGCCTCAGAAAGCCCATGGAGGGCGGCGACGAGCTGGAATGTAGGGTGGCAATGGTGATGGCTTTCCATAGGCTTGGTCCTTCTCTTTGGAAGCAGTCCGAGCAGAACTTGGAGATGATGCCTTCTACTGTTGGGTATGAGGATTGTGGCTGAAAGCTCCCCCTTGGGGCAGCTTCTCCGGTCCTGAGCCTTGACAGGGTTATGGATTCTTCCTGCTCTAGGCTCCGTGAGGGAGGCCTGGAGTGGTGGTCAGTGTGCTCGGCGGCCAACTGAAAGGTGGGTGGCTCCAGTCCACCCAGAGGAAGAAAGGCCGGGCGATCTATGTCTGAGAAACCAGCACCGGAAACTCAATGGAGCAGAGCTCTCCCCTCAGGAGCTGCGTCAACTCAGGGGCAGCTGGTTCCTAAGCAACAGCAAGCCCGAGCCCAACCTGGCACTTCCTGCTGAGACCCGCCTCCGATGCCGCTTCTCAGAAAGGTGCAAGGAAGGGGTTTTGACAGCAAGGCATTTCTTTTACAAGCACACTTTTTAAAAATGAAATTAATTTTTAAAGAAAAGGTCTCATTCATATACACGATTCACACGTTGGAAGTGTGCAGCTCAGTGGGTTTGTATCTAGGCAGCTCCCACCCCGGGTTCTGAACTTTCAACTTACAACCCCTAGTGACCAGCCCCTGCCTAGAAAGGCCATTAAAAATCCGAGGTGCACACAATGCTTTGCCCTAACAAATGGACGCTTTCTGGGGATATTCTTGCTGTTCTTACTGTAGGAGGGGGTTTTGAAAAGATTATGGGAAAATTCCACCATCTTTCAATCCCATTTTTCCACAAACTTCCGGAAGCTCCCTCGGATTCCCTGTCGCTGGGAGGGTGTCCATGTGTTGTCTGCCCAGAAAGGCACACTGCACGCGACCTACTCAGACAGTTGACAGAGGCGTGAATGATGAACTGCAGTTAACTCTTCCGATGTAGGTACAAATTCAACTTACAGACAGAACAGGAGCAGAAGGTGTTGATGGTTTTGTCATCTGAGGACTGCTGTTATGCATAAAATCATGTGACCGGCATTCATTTAATTCTGGAACATTTCATCATTCCAAAGAAGAAACCCTGTGCCCAGTAAGCAGTCACTTCCCAAACCTTGTTATTAGGCTCCATTGAGCCAGCTCTGATCCACAGCAGCCTTACGTACAATCTCCTGCCCCATCCTCCTGTCCCGAGGCCACACACTTCTTCACACTGTCCAGCTTCTCTGATGATTGCTCCACATACAGATTGAACAAGCCCCGACACCCGCCTTTCCCGATGACTTTCAACCCTTGTCCTGTTCGAAGCCTTCAGCACGTGTCACAACTCAATGTAAAGACGACCTCATGTACGACCTCTACAGGAGCACGAGGTGTTCCGGAATCCCCGTTCTTCCCAAGGTTAGCCATAGTTTGTTATGGTCCACAGAGCCGAAGGTCTTAGCATAGCAATAACACACAAGGTATTTCTGGTACTCTGTTTTCAGGTAACACTCACCTGACATCAGTCATGATATCCCTTGTTCCACATCCTCATCTGAAACTGGCCTGAACCTCCGGCAGCTCCGACTGCTTACAGCCGTTGTTGCAACTTTAGTCCTAGACAACTATGAACCCTACTTTCTGTTTCACACGTTTACCTCGTCTGGATATGCCCCACGAGTGGAATCATGCAGTAAGAGGTTATTTGTGCTTTCTGGGGCGGGGGAACTGGTTTCTTTCATTGAGCACCTGTGTTGGAGGGTCAGTGTGCATCCGTTGAGGCTAGGGCCATGGAGTCGGTCAGGTTGGACTAATAAGGACCATAGAAGAGAACACCATGGTTTGGGGCCGGTGCACTATCTTTGCTGTGTTTGAGCCCATTGTTGCCACTGTGGGAGGGTCTCCCTCTTTTCCACCGACCCTCTAATTTTACCAAGGATGATGCCTTTCTTCAAGGCTGGTCTCCCGGTACCAAAAACACAAGCAAATTTTCTGCCATGGAGTCAATGCTAACTAACTTATCGTGACCTCATAGGACAGGACAGAACTGTGCCTGTGGGTCGCCAAGATTATAACACTCGACAGGAGGAGAAAGCCTTGACGTTCTCCCACAGAGCGGCTGATTGGTTTCGAACTGCTGACTTTGTGGTTAGCACCCCAACTTGGAACCACTACACCACCAGGGGTTCCCTGGTCCCTGCTGATCACACGTCCAGAGTTTGTGAGAAGAAGTCTTGCCCTTTTCACTTTGAAGCAGCATTCTGGCTGTACTTCTTCCGAGACCGATTTGTTTGTTCTTTTGGCAAGTCCACAGCACATTCCATATTTTTGCCAATAACATAATTCCATAGCATAAGTTTTCCTTGGGTCTTCTTTGTCCACTGCTCAGCGCTCACACTGCATATGAGGCAATCGGGAGCAGCACGGTTTGGGTCAGGAGCACCTGTCTTCCAAGGGACATCTGACTGCTGAACACCTTTGCAGCAGGCTTGTTCCATGCAATGTTTCATTTGATTTCTCGACTGCTGCCTCCTTGGGTATTGAGTGTGGATCCAAGTAAATGAAATCTTTGACCTTTTTTCCCTTATCTTAATTGCATTGACCATAATGTCCCCGATGGGTCCAGCTGTGGGGATTTTTATTTTCTTTATGTGGAGGTGTGCTCTACATTGAAGACTATGAGGTCTTAGATCTTCATCGGTTAAGTTCCCGTATCCCTTCACTTCTTCTTATGGACCAAATAGCATTCCATCGTTATGCAAACCGACCAGTTTCCATAGCAACTGGTAGAGTTTGGACAACTCACCTTGTGGTTGGCAGCCCAAAGCATGAACCACTAGACCACTAGGGCTCCTAGCAGTGCATGGGGCTTCCGATTTCTCCACATCCTCGCTGACACTTCTGGTGGGAAAACACGGAGTCCTCTACAGTCGGGCTCTCCTCCTCTATCTGCAACTTTCCTTGGTTCCGACCCAACGCGACCCTGTACACGACAGAAGCAAACACTGCCTGCCGGTCCTGCGCCGTCCTCACCAGGGCTGTTAATGTTTTGGGTGCACTGTTGTAGCACCCTGTCAATCCTTCCACTTGAGGGTCTTCCTCTTTATCACGGACTCTCTAATTTATCAAGCACGATGTCCTTCTCCAGGGGCTTGTCTCTCCTGACAACGTGTCCAAAGTATGAGACGAAGTCTTGTCACCCTTGCTCCTGAAGAGTGTTCTGGCCAGACTTCTTCCAAGACCCACTGGTTTGTCCTCCTGGCAGACCGTGGCAAAGAGGTCTTGTGCAGCAGATTAGCCAATGCAACGTGCCGTTTACTTTCTTGACCAATGCTTTCCCGAGGCATCGTGATTGTGTCTCCGAGCCGGATGGAGCCCCCTGACAACTCCAATCTCTTCTCCATTTACCACGATGTTGTCTAGCAGTCCAGTGCGACCATTCTACCAGGGCTCAAAGGGTTTTGGAAAAGCCCTTGGACAGAGGAAGCGTGTGTGGGGCGGGGAGTCTGGCAAGAACCACTGACCAGCCTCTGCTTCCTGGGCTGCGTCTTCCCGAAGCCGGACGTGGCCCGTTGTTTCAGCCCTCCTCTCCCACAGTGACAGCCCCGGGCCTTCGTGACATTGATCTCTCTGGGCATCCCATTTCTGAAGGCCGCACTCCAGGAGGGTGACTTCAGCGATGATCATAATACAGACTCTACTTCCGACAGCATTCATGCCGTGTCATGCAGCGATGGCTTCTGAGCCATGGGCGGATGACCATCCAGTGCTTCCCCCACTCATTTATGTGCCCACAGTCCCAGAGGGAGGAGTTGTGGCTGGAGGTGAGGGGGTGTGGTCAGCCCAGGGCCCCCCAGTCATGTGTGTCGTGGTAGGTCCAGAGAAGCGGCTCAGGGCAGGGTGTTCTTCCACTTGGGGGAGCCTCCAGGCCTCTTGGGTTTCCAGGGTCTGAAGCCAGGCTAGGCGGGGGTCTCCTCTGAGAGCCTCCGCTGAGGCACCACAGGCGTGCAAGCAGTTTCCGGGTCTGTGATGATAAGAATCCTGCTGCTTTGAGGCAAGTTCGGCTTACAGAGACCCTCTAAGACAGGAGTTCTCAACCTGTGGGTCGCGCCCCCTTTGGGGGTTGAACGACCCTTTCACAAGGGTTGCCTGATTCATAACAGTAGCAAAATGACAGTTATGAAGTAGCAACGAAAATAATTTTATGGTTGGGGGGTCACCACCACATGAGGAACTGTATTAAAGGAAGTATTAGGAAGGTTGAGAACCACTGCTCTAAGACAAGAGCTTAACTGCCATGCCTCCTTAGTGTCTCCAAGGCTGTGTGTTCTTATGGGGGCAGCCAGCTGCATCTGCCTCCCGAGGAGCAGCCAGTGGGTTGGTGGGTTTGAACCGCCGACCCTGCCGTGAGCAGCCAAGCACTTAACCACTAGACCACCAAGGATGCTTGGACAGGATACCTCCTTTAGAGGATTGTGTTTTAAAGAGGGAGAGTAAGGTGGGTACCTGAGCGAACACCCAGGACATAATTCATAGGAGCCCTGGTGGCTCTGTGAGACCAGGGCTAGCCTGCTTACCACACAGTCAGAGGTTCAAACCCACCAGCTGTGCCAAGGACGAAAGATGGGGCTGTCTGCTCCCGTCAAGATTCACCGTCTCAGAAACCCTGTGGAGAATGGCTAATAGGGCGAGGAGCTGAGCCAAATGGCCAGTACCTGATGGAGGCTTGGTGATCAATGTTAGTCAGGGCTGCTGCTGTGAATTAGTAATAGCAGCCAGCCCAGCTGCTGAGCACACCTGTTTCCTCTCCACTTCTCCCTGCTCTGATTCATAGCCACCTGAAAGGATCGAATAGAACTGCTCCTTCAGGTTTCAGAGACTGTAATTCTTTATGGAGGAAGAAAGCCTCATTTTCCTCCCTCTGAGTGGCCGGGGATTTTGAACTGCTGACCTTATGGTTGGTAGCCCAACACATAAAACCCACGATGCCACCAGGGCTCCTCTGACTCAGCCCAGGGAGCCTCTTTTCCCAGACAGCCATTCTGTTTTCTGACAGAGCTAATGGTTAGAGAGGTTTCTTTTTATGCTGGCCAGCAATCTGCCTGTTGGGTCCAACAAGGGGTAGGATGAGGAGAAGCAGCCCGTGAAAGCACAGAGGGCACTGTTAGAGATAAATCTCTGACCAACACGGCCTTAGCCAGGACACAGGGCCCTCTCTGATGGTAATTCCAATCGGGGCCCTGTGTTCTGAGGCAGCCTATCCACGGGACCCTTAGCCCTCTTGGGGAGAGGAGGGAACAAGTGGGCTCGAATCTTCCCCAACAAACGGACGGATACAGTCCAATTCCTTGAGTGAATTCTCAGACACCTGCCCTGCTCCCTCATCCCCTGCCAGCCCCACTGCCTTCTTCGGATGTTTGGCAGGCACCGCTTATAGCCTGATGAGGACAGAGGAAAAGCACTGTGGCCACCTCCCTTGTTGGAACCATATACTTCCATTAATGAAGCCTGAGTTTAAAGAATATATATACATACATGTGTATATATATACATATATATATATATACACATTAAAGCAGCATGGCCCTGCTGACCTCTATTGAGCTAGTGTCACCGTGGGGCCACTCAGGGTAGACAAGTCTGACACGGAGGGTGGGGAGAAATGCGAAATCCCAGGAATCCTGACTGCTCCTCTCCCCATAGGGACAGCTCTGGAAGACTCCCAACCACGTGTTCCACCCCTGAGCCGGCCCCTGGGGATGCCGGAGCCCGAGGGCAGGCGGGAAGGCTAGCTGTTGCTAGCTGTTGGCCCACCTGGTTTCACGGCTGGGTGTTTTGGTTTTGTGTCCAAAGGCAAAAGACAGTCCGTGGGGCGGCTGATCTCGGGAGCAGGAAGAGCCTGCAGCACAGGATTCTGGGGGCGGGACTCCATGCTGGGAGGCTGGTAGGTGCTGTCCGAGCTGGTGGGCTGCGTGGCAGACCCGAAGCTACGGTTCACTGCCTGGTTGGAATCAGAGCTGGGGTGCGTGGCGGAGTCTCGGCGCCTGGAGTCGTGTCCCTTCCTTTTGCCCTTCCTCATGATGACTCCGGACGGGGCCTACATGGAGCTGCCTGGACTCCCACCTCCCTCCTGGAGGGGCTGGCTGCCCCCTACCATCTGCCCCCTGGGAAGGCACTGCAGCAGGCCCAGGCCCCGCAGAGAAGAATCACTCCTGTGAGGTCATGAGTTCACTGCGTTGAGGTCACAAAGGCTGGGTGGCCCCTATGGCAGGGCTCAGGGGACAGGCTTCTCACCCCAGCCTGGTGTCCTTCTCTCCTCCAGCTGCCCCCTTCAGGCCCCGGGCAGCCACTGTGTCCCCACCCCCAGATCGGGGTGACAGTTCAGACCCTCCCACACAAGGCTGGAGCGTCTCGGGCAGGCACCTTTCTGCCATGTGATCTGGGGTCCTCGGGTTCTGTTTTGCTTCCAGACACCCTGGGTGTGACGTCAGCTTTGTGACCGGTCTCTACGGATGACAAACATCTATGTCCACCACGTACTTCGGCTGTATCAGGTAAAAGCTGCAGCAGCACTGCTTCTCAAAGGGGGTGACGCTGTCTGGGAGTGCAGGGGTGGGGGTGGGGGTGCTAGAATCATCTCATCCCATCCCATCCGATCCAATCCAAGCTCACTAACAATGAGTTGATCCCGACTCATAGCGACCCTCTAGGACAGACTAGGACGGCTAACCTTTCGGTTGGCTCAGCAAAGCATATCCACCGGATCCCACGGAGTCGAGGCTGACTGACCCTTCAGAATAGGGTAGAACCGCCCCTGTGGAATTCTGAGACTGTAACACTTTACGGGATTAGCAAGCTCCATCTTTCTACCGAGAAGTGGCTGGTGGTTTCGAACTGTAGACCTTGTGGATGGCAGTGTGCTCCTGAACCGAGTACAGCCTTGGAAACCCTATAGGGCAGTTTTACCCCGTCCTCTGGGAGTGATGCGGGTCAGAGTCACCTCCACAGCAATGGGCTTGGTTTTGGTTCGGGGGAAGGGTGTCTCTTTCAGAACTTTCTAGTCCCTTGGCTGTTCCATTCCCACTGACAGAAGCACCTGTACAAAACAGTCCCCTTCTGCCCCGAAGCCTAGACAATCTCCCTGTGGGTGTTCTATTTGGGGGGAGGAGCGCCCCAACTTTCATAGCTCCTGCACTAAGCAACAATCCCCCTCCTGGCAATGCAACTGCTGCTTAGGAAAAAAATACAGCCTCAAACTCCTTACGCTGGCGACCACAGACAATCTCTCTTGGGCCAAGCTGGTACCCGGCAGCCCCCTGTCCCCCAGCTGGGGGAACGTTTCTCTGAAGTTAACCATGGGGTTTTCATTTTCTGATGGCAAAGGAAAATGTCTTTGAAAAGCCCGCCCTGCACATCACGCCTTGACTGCCACGTGAAATGGGCTCATGTCAGAAGATGGCTCCTGTCACAGAGGTGTCACTGCGCAGGTGAGCACAGGGCCCGGGGTTGGGGGAGAAAAGGGGGTCCTCCCGGCCCGTGAACAAGCATTAGCATAGTGCAACCAGCAGCGAGTGGCAGCCTGCTTCCCATGGATCCTCGGCGACAGTCGAACAGGCCCCGAGGGTGATACTCAGGCCTGCGGGCACATCTCGGAAGTCTGGAATATGAGAGTTACCGAGGGGGGACCTGGGACATGCAGTCAGCAGGTGCTGTTGGAAAAAACGGCCTTGAAAGGCGTGCTCTCTGCAGGGTGACGCTGCCTAAAGGAGGTGTGCCTGTCGACCTGAGAATCACCTGGGTGGGGACCTGTTAGAACAGCCGGCTGGCAGTGGATCTGGGTTGGAAAATGCAAATCCCCAGCAGGGAGTTGAGCCGCAGGGAGCCTGTTCCAAGGTCTGATTTCAAGCCTCATGCACGCGCACACTTCTTAGCTAGAAGCTTCTTAGCTAGAAGCGTCCACGGCTCTTTCTTTCCTGGCCTGACTCCTCTAGATAAGGTTCCTGCTCACAGTCCGCTCTGGCTGCCCCCCGCTTCCAGCCACCCACAAGTACCGAAGGGTGGGGCCACCTTTGTTGGGGCCCTTCCCCTCCGTCAGGAGTCCCTGCTCAGCACAACGGGCTGAGCACACAGCTTGTCCCCATTCAGCCTGAACCCACTCAGAGGTACCTTGGAAGACAGGTCTGGCGATCTGCTACAGAACAATCAGCCACTGATAGTTCCCTGGGAGCACAGCGAGACGCTCACGCTGGAGTTCCCAGCAGCCAGAGTCGACACGCTGACACCATGCACTTCCTGTCATCATCAGCTACCTGCAGCAAAGCCACCGATCCCATGCTGCAGGGCTTAGAGCTATTCCATCCCTGCCTTCTCCCCAGGGCCCTGGTGGTGCGGTGGTTAAAGGCTCACCTGCTCACCAGAAGGTCAGCCGGAGAATTAGGCTGGCATCAGTACAGAGACAGTCTTGGAAGCCCACCAGGGCACTTCTTTGAGGCCTGGGCCCTGTCAGGTCACTCTGAGTCCTGCCATCACCCTTCCCAGAGGACAGAGAGCAGGGGTGAGGCTGAAGTTCTGCCAGGGGTGGGGGAAGGGAGGGCAGGGGGAGAGGCAGCCCTTCCAGTGGCCCGAGAAAGCAAGGAGAAACCGGGAGGCCGGTGGGTATGGGACAAGGGCGTTTTTCCTTCAAGATCTGGGGGTACTAGTTGGAATAGTCTGAAGGTAAGGACCCACCTGCTCCGGGGATCATGGGGGTCAGCTGAAAGGGAATGCTGAGGAGCCCTGGTGGCACAGTGGTTAAGAGCACAGCTGCTGACCGAATGTTAGTCAGTTCAAACCCACCTGAGGCCATACAGATTACAGCCTCCAAAACCCCGCGCCTGTAGGAATGCAGGGAAGGTGGTCAGGATAGGGACCCAGGGGTGTTCGAATCTACACTCACCAGCAGGGGCCTACTCCAAGCCATCAAGTCAATTCCAACTCATAGCGGAAACTCTCTAAGACAGGGTCGAACTGTCCCTGTGGGTTTCTGAGACTGTCACTCTTTACGGGAGTATAAAGCCCTGCCTTTCCCCCAAGGAGCGCCTTGTGGTTTTGAGCGGCTGACCCTGAGGTTAGCAGCCCAACATGTAGCAGCACTAGCCAGGGCTCAGAATCTACTCACTCAGAATTTAGACTTTCATCAGACCTTAAGGCTCCCCACGGGATTCGACCGAACACTTACTGTGCTTAGCAGATCATGCAAAACATTTTCTTCTTTTTACAAATTGAAGGTTGGTGACCACTCTGCGACAAGCAAATCTATCGGCGCCTTTTCCCCCAAATGGCGGGTGCCCACTACGTGTCCGTGTGTCCCCGCCTAGTCATTCTCGCAAGAGTTCAACCGTTTTCACCATGTGATGACAAGCTTTCTAGACTACCCACCGCTGCTGTTCGGTGGATTCCAACTCACAGGGGCCTACAGCACCCAGCAAGGAGGACGGCGGAGCAGAAACAAGGCATTGTGTGCACTGGCACTAATAGTGTGTGTGCGGCTCTCTTAGTGGCGATTCACCTGGGATCCTCAACATCTCCAAGGTCGGTCTGAGTGCTTCCGTGTTGCCTGAGCTGGGTGAAATTTCTGTTATGATTCAGTATACTTGGGGGTGGGATGAGGGGTGGAGAGAATGTAAATCCTCAACAAGGATGGAAATGGAAGGAACTGGTTGGAAACCCTGTTTGAAGCTGCCTCCCCAACCTCCCATGCCTTGTTGGCATAGTGGATAAAGCATTAGGCCGCTAACCGCAAGGTCAGCAGTTCAAAACCACCGGCCACTCTGCAGGAGAAAGATGAGGCTTTCTATTCCCATAAAGTGTTACAGTCTCAGAAACCCACAGGGGGCATTTCTATCCTGTCCTATAAGGTCCCTATGAGTCGGAATTGACTCAATGCCAGCGAGTTTGATTTGCTTTGACCAGGGCCCTTAGCTCCTCAGACTAAGGCCCAGGCTGCCCTCCTGGGTCCCTGGGAAGGAAAGGTCCTTTGAGGGCTGAGAATGAGAAAGGTCCTGAGAACAATACGTGGCTTACTGGATGCCTCACAGGAGGGAAGGCTGACCACTCTAGCAAGGAACTAGAGATGCAGACAGCAGGGTGTGGGCATCTTACAAAAACAATGCCCAGTAGGCCTGGGTGAGGTCTCTGAATTGAACCGATGGGAGCATCTTTGGATGCTGAAGGAGCCCTGGTGGAACCATGGGAAAAGCTTTGGGCTGCAAAGTGCATTGACTGTGGTTCAAACCCACCAGTTGCCATGTGGGAGAAAGACCTTAAAGATTTCATTTCGGAAACCCCAAGGAACATGTCAACTCTGCCCTATAGTCTCTCTCTGAATCGGAACGACTCAATGGCAGTGGCTTTGGTTTGTGGCACTCAGATTGTCCCAGCGAGGTCACCTGGGGCTACCCTTCTAGTTTAG